CCCTCTGGATGGCATCTCTTCCTTCTATTGTATCAACTACACCACTCAGTGTGGTGTTGTCTACAAACTTGCAGAGAATGCACTCAATCCCACTGTCTAGGTTATTAATAAAGGCACTGAAGAACACCAGTCCCAAGATGGATCGCTGGGAGGACTTGTGACTAGATTCCACCTAGGCATAGAACTTCTGACCACAACCCCATGGCTGCAATTATCTAAGTTGTTCTTTATCCACTGAATAGTCCACCCTTTAAATCCATATCTTTCCAATTCAGGAATAAGGATATGTATAAGGTCAAAGGCTGTATACAAGACCAGGTAGATGACATTAGTTGCCTTTCCTTGCTCCATCAATGCTGTCACTCTATCATAGAAGACCACCAGATTGGTCAGGTGTGATCTGTCCTTAGTGAGCTGTGCTGGCTTCTTTGGATTCTCATCTTGCTTGTAACTGCTTACTTGTAACAGCTCTTCAGAAAGAGCAGTTAAAAGCAGTTGGGCCCTGGGTGCCTGCTTCCTTCTGGCACCCCTTGCTTGCACACATATACTTTTGTTTGCCCCATCCTCACTTTCAGAGCACTTTCCCCAGGTTTTTAATATCCTGGATTATTCCCCAGAACTGGTTCTTGGCACAGCCACATGATTCAGCTGACAGTCTTGGAGATTGGCAGTGAGGAAGGACAAACTCAGTTTTTAGGCTAGATTTGTTGCTGGAGGAAGCGCAGCATGAAGCTGAGTCTTCAGTTGGCCGTATTCCTGAGCATGCTATCCATGGCACAGCCTAGCAGTGCAGTGGAGGGGACCAGATACTTGGGTACCTCTGAAAGAGGAGATCCAACTGCCTTTTCTCTCCTCATCTATTTCCCCGTTGCACGTCCTGACTCTGAGGTACCTCAGGCTCATTTTCTGCCTGCTTGGCTCCCCAGACTGACTCACGGTAAGCAGAGAAGAAAACCATCCGGTGTGCAAAAGGTATGGTTGGGGAAAAGCTGGGTAATTAATCCTTCCGTGGCAGCTAGACAATATAAATTGACTTAGTTACATTGCATCCTTAGAGCCGAGGAGTCTGATAGCAGTCAGCTTTGGTCAGCATCCAGGTCCCAAACCGATGAGCTCTGGGTAACCTGAGATGTGCACAGTCTGGAGCCCACCAGCTCTTGCAAGGACTGATGGAGGGAGATGAGCATTGCATGAAAGTGATGCCCTTCTGCTCCATTGGCCCTGGCTGCCTGGCTGCAGGTTTCTAGAAGAATTCCTCCCTGCTTCGTCTTCCCTATTAAAAACACATTTTTCTTAGTTTTATTTACTTTGCTGATGCTGAACTTGTGCCACCCATTCTTAGGAGACTTGCAGAGAGAGACCCTTGGCAGCCTGCAGAGGAGAGTGTTAAGAACTTGGCTGATATATATGATGAGCATATAAGGAGCCTTTTAAAATAGAGTTAGCAAAGAGAAAGAACTGTTGAAGTCTTTGTTGTTTTATGATGAAATGTGAATTTTGTCATATTTTACATGCTTTCATTTTTTATTATAACACAATTACTTTAAGGCATTAATGATGGAAAAATACACTTTCACAAGGTTCTAACACCTGGAAAATAATTTTTCTACCCAGTAGCCTCAAGAAAGCTACTGGGTAGAAAATTGTTGATAGTCTACAGGAAAAGCAGAAGTCATTTATTAGCTTCATGCTTTCCCACTTCAAAATACTGAGATCATGTTTTACTAATATTTTCAGAACAAAGGCAGTGATGAAACATTGCCAAGTTTGAAACCGCAGTGCTTATGCATTCCAGCTCACTTCTCTAGGAGTGTAAAATAGCCAGAGCAAACAGGTCATTTGGATTGTGGCCGCTGAAACTTTGTTTTGCTCTATCAGGCTACCCAGCCAGAACACGCAGAGGAGAGGCTCTTCATGAAATTCTCTGGTACAGGATATTTTCCCCTTCAGTCTCTACTGGGACAGGGAGAGAATTTTGGTTGTGAAAAGTATCTGGAAGATTAAGATGGAAGGGGACTGATTGCCTTTAACTATTTCAGTCTAGTACTTGCACACAGTTTCCATGATATGTGGAACTACTGGGTTTACAGGGAATATGTATTCCCAATGCTAAGATAGTTAAACAATTTTTTTTTTTTTTGAGAAGTCTCACATTAGATGGAACAGAACATATCTTTAACTCATTTTCATTCCTAAGCAAAGGAAAAATCTTTACATTAATTCTGTTTGAACTGTCATATATAAAGGACAGTACGCTGGATTTCTCTTGCAGAACAAAGACCTTTGAATTCCAGCTTTGGGGCCAAACTCAGTTTGACCTGTAAATCCTAGCTGTGCTCTCATGAATCACTTCTGCCTCATTAGTGACCTGAGGATTCGTAAGTAAATCTGATTTAATCATGCTTGTTAAGCAGGAATTTGTCCCTCGACTCACTGTGTTCTAGATTTCCCTTCAAAAAAGAAGCTTTATTAAACATTATTCATCTTTCTTCTCCGTGTTAATTTACATGTACATTTTAATCATGCCTGAAAACACAGAAAGCTCTGAAATCTGATGATTTCTGATTTGTCCTAACAAGGCACAGGGTGATGTCAAGCATCCTGCATTATACCAAAGCATGTCACTGGGATTGATAAAGCCACATTTATTTGAATATATCCCTGAGTGTTTTGTTTTGTTGTCATTTTGGGGTTTTTTTTGTTTGTTATTTTTTTATCAGTTGTTGAGGATTTCAACTTTGACATGGAAAATCTTTCAGCAAATACCTATACAATTACAGGTAGTTGCTAGGGATTGTTTAAAATCTCTCAGTGTAAGTTAGTGTGAAATTGGAGATAACTTTATTGTTGAGTACACAATTGTGGAAAAAAAAAAAAAAAAAAAAAAGGTAAAATTTTGGTGCTGCTGCTTGAAACTGTGCCATTTCCCCAAGTGCAAATTATTGTGTTTAAGCAGACATTAATATTTTGTTAAGAGACAATAGTGACAAATACAGCAAGTTCAGACAACTGACTTTAAAATAGTTTTCCAACTGTTTGATCATTAGCATTTATGTTCATGTTCCCTTGCTTGCTGCTTTAAAATAACGCTGTTCTACAATTCTCTCCCCTTCTGATGGCTCACGTACTCAAAGGGGAGAAGTAATTGCTGAAATGCTACAATTTATTCTGCACTAAATGAAGCGAAAAAATAATGATAACCTCCCCACCCCTGCTAAAGGCAATGGAAACGTTTTTTCTTCATGTCATTCAACGGTAATAATTTAAACTGTCTCAGCAGCAGTAGGTATAAAGATAATGTATACCTTTAAACATTTTGAATAACTTCAAAATGATACTAAACTTCATCAGTTCAACAAAAGATTCAACTCTTGCAAAAATGAAACAAATATAACTATTATAAGCAGTAGGGCAGTAAAATAAAGCAAATTATTGGAGGAAACAGGAAAAACAAAGAAAGAAGGAAGCTGAGAAATTAAGGATTAGATGGCTACAAATCCTTGCTTTCCTTTTAAATGAAAATTCTAATTTATCCTTTCTTTTTTCTTCTTTGTAGTTACTAAAGCTGCCAACATAATGTAGTTTTGCGCAACAGTAGGTATTGCCAGTGGTCGAATAAAGTACAGCCTGCCACAGCCTAGCAGTCACCTCATGCAAAGAAAGCTGTGGCAGGTTGCATGAAGAAAACCACATCAGGCCAGCCCTCAGCTACAAAGGCTGAGTCTAACATGCCTTAGCAGCATGGTCAGACACACTTGGTGCCTTACTGCAAACCAGAAATGTGTTAGCAACTCCTCAAGCTGCAGTTACTTGATCACTTGTCTGAGCCCTCAGCATACAGCTGCATGGTTTTGCACAGAAATTTAAGGTTTCAAGTTGTAGACAGCTCATTAGGACTGGCTTTGTGCCTTCAACTGCTTTCTTCTTTCCGTGGCTTCATGGAATTCAACATGGGCGTCCAACCCTTCAATGTGCCTGGGCCGCATTGAGAGGAGTTGTCTTGGACTATATATCACGTATGTAATGTAGTTAATGTATATAACTAAGAAAACTTATTTTTTTAGATTTTTTAAGTAAAACATTACACAGAATCACAGAATTGTAGGGGTTGGAAGGGACCTCCAGAGATCATCGAGTCCAACCCCCCACATTGGAGAAGGACAAAAAAAAGCAAGATGAATGTGGAACTAGTGCGATATTTGACCTTGTTTTTGTGAAACTAATACATCGGTCTGGTTCAATGGCAGTGGTTGCAGTGAGCTCTCAAGGTGCTCATCGGAGATTTTTGATGAAATTTTACTCTTCCCTAAAAACAGTTATTCACAAATGTACATAATGCCAAAAAGCGATGACATGAACAAGGTGTGAATATGAAGCGAGGGATATCTTTCTCTGGTGGGATAGGGCCTATAAAAGTTGAGTAGAGAGACATGATCAGATTTTTCTTTGATGTGAACATCTGATTGCAACTCAATACATTCCATTTCAAAATTTGCAGGTAATATATTTATGTCTCTTGAAAACAGTCACAAATATACCAAAAATTTGATAATTTTTTCAGCACTCTTGAAACCTATTCTCAAATTCTTCTATCAAAATGGAAAGCATGGCTGCATTTTGCTCACTGTTCATAGGACTGTGTTTAGCCAATGTATCGAAATGCATAAAATTATTTGCCATAACTTGAGTTAGTGCTGCACTGTGCCTTCCTTGTCCTGGTTTCAGCCCAGACACTGCCAATCACACACCAGTGTTTGGTTGTTGCTGAGCAGTGGGTGCATGCCTGGGGCTGAGCTGAGCCTCTTGGTGGGCAAGAGCCACTGCCATGATGGTGTGGGGCAGGGAGCAGCCACAGGATGGGCTGGGCCAGGCCATGTGCAGGCCACAGGCCGATGATTGGACACCCCTGCAGTACAACTTGAAGACAGCATGAAAGGGCACCATCTTAGCTGTTATCAGATGTCTGTGTGATAAGCAAATACCCTTGTCTATGTTTTCAGACAGCTGAAGTGGCATTAGCCAATCTGAAGAATAAATACGAAAATGAAAAAGCTATGGTGACTGAAACCATGACCAAACTACGAAATGAGCTGAAGGCTTTGAAGGAGGATGCAGCAACCTTCTCATCCTTGAGAGCAATGTTTGCAACCAGGTAAGGGAAGTGATTTCACCGTCTGCCTCAACACTGTAAAAGTAAGTGTGCTAAATAGGAGCAGACTTAGCTACGGATGTTGGGTGCGTAAGAGGAGAAACAGAAATTATTTTTTGCAAGTTCAGGGATTTGCTGGATGAAGGTGAATGAGTCTTACAGTGCACGCTGTGAAAAACATGCAAGCTTTCAAGTGATACTGAGAAGCACGTCTTTGAAAATAGGGCTGGAGAATAGCAATGTCAATGCAACCTTGAATAAGGTGTTATAACTGCCAATATCAGTCTCCAGTCTATTTGCATTTATAGGGCTTTTTTAAGTGGAAATCAAACAGTAGATTTATATGGCTGATACTCATATTCAGAAGTATGCCATGATTCGGTCGTGTAAAGCTGTCGTGTGGATAATGATGATCTTCAGAATCCTGTTTTTTCATTATCACGAGATTTATTACTTACCACTGGAAAAATCTATTTCATCAACCAGCCTGTGCTGTAATCCAGCACTAATAATTCTAAGGCCATTGCAATTGCACATTCCAGCATGAACTCTCATTTTCTCCAGCTGTATTATTCAATTTATTAACTTCTCTTCACAGGATCAAAGTTTCACTTATCTTCTGTAGCATGGTTCCTCCTGACAGGGCAGTAATTACTCATCTCTCTTCTTTCATTCTACCACACTCAGAAGAGCTTTTGTTTTTAGCTGCTTTGTAAAAATTACCTACAAATAATTTGTATTTGAAGATCCGGTGATTCCATCAAAAAATTCTTAACACACAAATGAGATAGTAGTAACCTCAGAAAATTTTTCTGTTTATGTCATGATTTTTTTCCCCATTATGATTAAATGCAATGCAGATTTCTTGCTTGAACTTTAATCTGTAAGCAGTAAGACTTCGTGCCTCATGCCAACATCTCCCCAGCGCTCTCTTGTAGTATATAGGTGCCATCTCACCTCTTCCAGCCTTTTTTGGTCTTTTGTTGCTTGATGACAGTAGCAGCAGCATCTGGGAGAGATGGAAAAATGGAGGAGGGGCCATTTGCATGCCATGACTTTGGTGCTGTGTACAAATTCATCATAGGTTCATCGTTGGAAGAGTACGTGTAGTGCCATAATGGAAATGAAGAACCAACTCATCAGGTGAAGTGAACCAAGGTAGCTCTGTTCATTTCATTGACACCTAGAGATTGTCTTCAGGAAAGCAAACTTCTGTGTGTGTTTTAAAAATATGTTTGTTGACTTTGTTTACAAACTCATTATTCTAAGAGTTACACAAATGTACTAAACTCTGTATGACTACTTGGAGGGCTACTAAGCCCTGAGGAGAGAGCTAGCATCTTGAGCGTAACGCAAACAAAGGATTTATGTGGAGCCTATATCATTAACCTGCAAGATAAAACAAGTTTGGAAAGATCTGAAAGTTGTTACTTAAAGAGGATGTTAGGCTGTTGGTGTGCTGAATGCTTCTTATCCCATTTGGGCATCCTGACTGAACACTTTTGCCAGACAGAACACACATATCCTAAAGCTGGCAGGAGACAGTGTCTTATTTTCCATGAGAATGAAGCTTACATAGTGCCATGCATCTATATGCCTATTCTAAATGTCTTATGTGGGCTGTAATTAAACTTCTGTTTCTCTTCTACAAACTATAAAGGGAACCTGAGTGACTTGCTGAGTTATGGATTTCCACTTTATAGGTGTCTAATAGTAGTAGAGAAAAAACTCACACAAATTATCTACCGCTGTTTGTAAACTCCATGCAGTTGTGATTGAAAGCACACTGCATAGCCTATGGAATTTATCTTGGCCCTTGAGATCATAACTTTTGCACAGTGTTTTCTAGGGGCAGAGATGAAAAGTTACTCACTCACTGAAAAATATTGCACATCACTGGGATCCTATAGATTTTTCTATAAAATATTATAAAATATTACTCTTCCTTCCCTTACTTTGTGATGTGTTCACCCTCATAACAAAATCAGTTTATCTAAATGTTAAAATCATTGGCTCATTCTGAATATTTCATTTGGAATATCATCTGTTTAAATGACAAAGCCATGATCTGCTGTAGATGTTCATTCAAGAAGATAAATCTGTTTGGAAATAGAAGAATGTAAGATTCTCCATGCAGTAACATTTGATTCAGTAGCAACATTCATTAAAAAACAAAACAGAAAAAAAATAGTTGTTTACTCTTGTTAAGTAAAACAGTTGTTTCCACAGTAATCTTACATCATGTAGTACTTCTCAATTTTTGTTGTAGGGAGAACATCCCTCTGAGAATAGAGCTGTATTATAGATCTGAAAATGATTGTATATGCTGCTTGATTGACCAATGAAAGTTGATTATGAAAACTTCTGTTTCATAATATCTTCCTTTCTGTTCATTTGACCCCTGAATGGATGTTCATTCTGGTGCTGAACTTTATGCTTTCTTCATCACATGCACTGAATGAAGTTCATGCCATGTTATAAGGAGAGAATAGCACAGATGACTCTAATTTGAATAACAAAGATTGCAGTGTTCTCCAAAGCTTCATTATGTGGAGGGCAGGAGCATTCCTTTTTCCATGATTTTCCCTGATACTTGTACATTCTTCAGTCTTTGAGTACTTTCTTCCTTTCTGCTCTTCCTCAACTCCAAAGTCATTCTGTCCAGCTTGTACCTCTTCTTTTGATCTTTTTATTTGCATGGACTGTTTGTTTCCTAATCCAAAGTCTCTGTGGTCCTGATCTCTACAGCTTCCTCTTTCTTTCTTCATTAGCCTTTATCCCTTTCTGAATTTACTTCAGAGCTGCCAAGGATGTCAAGGAGGTCCTCACCACAGTTCAAGCTCCCTTTTCCCCATACACTTCTCTTGAATCTTGAAACCACATAAATTCAACAGACTTACAGGTGAAAGAGGGTCAGTTTTCTAGGCCCTTCTCGTAATCTATTTGGAAAGCTTAGAGACCTGGAGAAGGTTGAGATGTTGAAATTAACTGGAGAAATAAAATTTATCTGAGCTGAGAAGAACAGGTAATGTTACACTTAATTGTTCACTTTCAGGCATTATAAATATTTTGGTTTTTAAAGTCAACTGTGATACAGTTTTGAGGGCATGCAGTAGACTCCACTGATGGAGTCTCTTTCATAGCAGCAGTTCCATTGGTGCATTTTAATGGTGTATTAACCCTGCTGCTGCAAATTCTGCTGAAGAAGTAATCTGCTGTGGCTGTGTGCTGGTGGGTTGTGTGGAGCTGGCAGAGCAGAGTTTAAATTCCTGCTTGATATGTGGGCAATATGTTGCCCATCAGACTCCCAGTCTGCTTATGTTCTGTGCTGTTTCTGATAGTCCCAGAACAGAAAAATTGTGTGAGCCTTTCCTGCTTTTCCTCCTGTTGGGAGGGAATCGGAAGCTAATTTTACCAAATCCCTACATAAATTTGTTTTCCCATCTTAAGTAGAGACTCTCTTAAAGAGAGAGCAAGAAATACTGTTTGTGATATTGTCACACTCCTGATGCTGCATGCACTGATTTTATTCTCTGTCCATCAAGAGATTTTCTTATGATTTACAATTAGAGAAAACGCGTGCTTAAGGGATGGACTAGGAAGTATGGACAGATCCTAGAGCTATCCTGAAGGAGAAAGCATTTATAAGTAGAAGAGAATTATGCTTACATTGGCAGAGCAGAGATATGTCATTGACAGTGTCTCTGGGTTTAGCTGAAGCTCTGCTAAGATTTGTGTGACCTCAGTTATGCCTAGGCCTGATTCATTATTCGGTTTACATTCCTCATGTGTTAGTTTATATGAAATAAGCAGGTCTATGCATTTGTCTGCTTCCTTTCTGAGACAAAAGAAGTGAGAAATAGATGAAACCTTGACTTTTGTGCCCATGATAAGTAGACCAGCATACAACAAGACAACAGTGTTATTTACTAGTCAGTTGCATTTTACACCCATCATAGGACAAGGCACAAAGTGGGAAAGAGCTCTGATGTGGGTGGTCCCTCCCTGGAGGCATTCAAGGCCAGGGTGGATGTGGCTTTGAGCAACCTGGTCAAATGGGAGGTGTCCTTGCCAGTGGCAAAGGGGTTGGAACAGGATGATACTAAGGCCTGTTCCAATCCAAACTGTTCTATGATTCTGTGTAGGAAGATGTAATGTAATTTCTGTTATTCACTATCTCTTGAGCTCTTTTAAAAGGCCCATTCAGAGCTCTGGAGCCCTGCCTGCTCTGCACTGCTCTGCACTGTGTCAGAAGTAATTTCTCTTAATAGCTCTTAACTTTTTCTTCCTCTTTATGACTTGAGGCTTCACTAATGTTTATAAAATACATGGGCAAAAGGCAATATGAACATGTAAAGTTTTTTTTCTTTTTAAATTGGAAACACTTCTCTATTTTTATCCCTTACTCGCGGGGATATAGCAGGGATTATTTTATTGCAGGGAAATGCCATGGCTGCAGGCAGTAGCTACCTCCCACTACATGGAATAACCTTTGTTGCTGCAGACTTCAAGGAGATCTCAGGCTGTTAATTCAATGGTTTCTAAAGTTAATTATGGCCTTCAGTTGTTTGATTTAGGTTTACCCTTTCTGAATGCTGTTTCTCAAAAAATATGTATTCTTGAGCAACCGGCACAGGGACAATGGCCCACATGTTTGGGCAAAACAATAGGAAACTTCGCGTCGTGGTGGAGGTCAGATGACTGGAACCGCCCAAACACTGCACTGAACTGCCAAGAATGCTGGGTTGCTATTATGGGGAAACTTCTAGAAAGGGCATGCAGTTAATGAGAACAATTAGAAAATGTTGTCTTTACGGAATTGTTTTTATCTCGAGACTAAGGCCAGCTAACAGCATTGAATTCATCCAGGTTTCTAAGGCCATCCTGTTAAGAGTTCACAGCAAGTTTGTCTAAGTCTGCTTCAGTACTGTCCACATTCATGGGAGTTATGTTAACTGTTCAGTTATGCTGTTTCGCAAAGCAGATTTCTAGGTACAAGAACATCCTGAGGCCTGAGGAAAAAAACAGACCTCTTCCAAAAAGAAAAAATTTTTTAGGATGCTTCTGGGCATCCTAAAGCAAGGCAATTTGTTCCTCCAGTGGTACAGTGCTACAGGTGTTGCTGCAGATGTCACTTCTTTATTGTAATTCTCAACAGAAAATGCATTTGAAAAGAAGTGTCCTCTTGAAATAGAGGAAAGCAGGAAAGAATGAAAAATTGATACAGGATGATACATTTGGTTACATGATTGAATCTTTAAAACTCTGACAGCTCAGACCTTATAGTAGTTCCTATTTCAAATGAATTTAATTTCCAGAATGCTTGTTTCATTTTCATGTTTCATCAACAACTCTGGCCAAGATCTCATAGCCTGCAACAGAAGTAGATGTGCAAGTGCACTTGAAGTCAAACAATGTTTCAGAAATCTCTCTCTACCTCAGGGCTTATATACAGTCATGCTTGTTAAGGTTCTGTAGGAGAAAGGTAATACTGAAACTATAATTGAAATTACGGCTGGCATAACCATTTTTCTTTGAGTTAAAGTGCCTAAGTTATTCAAAAGGAGAGTGCCTCGTGTGTGTGCGTGTGACAAGGGGAAGTGTGAAGTTTTGCATATGTTTTGCTTCTGTTTCCCAAAGAGAAGTTTAAGGTTACAAAAATAAATAAATAAATAAATAAATAAATAAAAGCAATCACTCCATTTGCAATAATTCACAAAGTTTATTGGTTCACATATTCTGAGAAGTAAAACTAACACGCTTTTCTTTCCTTATTTTCTGTGAATGGTAATGATAAAGTTAAATCCTCATCCAGTATGTTGTGGTAATTACATAGGAAAGTTATTTAAATTTACACAGGTAATATGTGGGGAGGAGATTTGATGAAAGATGCATTATTTCATATAAAAAGTCCTTAGAAATTGCTACGACTGTCTGATGATCAGACAGTATTGCTAGCTGTGAATCATTTCACTGATGGCATGCATCTACCATTGTTATTGATTAGATGTTTCCAATTTTAATGAATTGTAACTATTTCAGTTCAGAAAGTCACTAAGACCATTCTAAAATGCCTTGCTCTTCCTATTCATTTTACTGAATCAATGTTTAAAGCAGGACTAAACTGCATTTGATCCTAAATGCTAACGAAATTATAAGGAGGTGGTTTTGTTTCAAAATCTGTCTCAGAGGTCCAATGTTTACTTAACCGATTAGAAACATATTACATTGTCATTATTATCATTATAGATACAGGTTTTACTGCTGGTTGAGAAGTACTGGCATTCAGATCCAAGTCCAAATTTATTCAGCAGGACAAGAATACAGGCTCTCCGCTTCCAGAATTTGGTTCAGCAAAATCTTAGATCTGAATCTGCCCCTATAAGTGAGGTCTGGAATTACAATCACTTTAGGGTTGGTTCTTGGATCAGTTCCCCAGATTTCTGCCTTGTTTGTTTTCCCAGGTGTGATGAGTACGTCACGCAGCTGGATGAGATGCAAAGGCAGCTGGCAGCTGCAGAGGATGAGAAGAAGACCCTAAACTCTCTGTTGCGCATGGCTATCCAGCAAAAACTTGCCCTTACCCAACGACTGGAGGATTTAGAGTTCGACCATGAGCAGTCCCGACGCAGCAAAGGCAAGCTTGGAAAGAGCAAGATCGGCAGCCCTAAAGTAAGTGAGGAGGCATCAGCCACCGTGCCAACCATAGACACTTTCCTCCTGCATAGTCAGGGCCCACAGCAGCCAAACTTACTGGTCAGCAGTGGCACTCAGAGGAAAAGGTATGCATGCAGTGATCTTTACAGTACAGTGCAGTGTCCAGACTTTCATTAAAGTCGTTCACTGAATTGTAAACATTCTATTTTTGGTTTTCTTTTCTTTTTTATATTTGAGTGGGGAGAAGGAGGTGGGGAACATATGAATACAGAATTCAAAGCCTGGCAACATGTGGTTCTAGTCCACCTACTCACAATGTTATTTCCTCCTTCTTAATGCGGTGTTTTGCATTATATTGTGTTGGTGTCTCGGTGCATCTTGTGTGTCTTTAATATTAGTGTAAATATATTTTCTTTAACAACCCTTCCTTAAGTTTCCCTTAAGATTTTTCATAATGAGCATCTGAAATCTAAAAGAATTGTTCTGTATGAGCATTTCAGTGCTTAACACAAAAGAAGTTGCATCTCTTTGTTAAGCTCTGATGCTCACTTGCTTTTCATCAGTGCAAAAAGAATATGGATGTGTTCACTCTGATCAATTTTTCTGCATAGGAGCAAGCAACCTTTTGAAGGGGGATGGCTGCCATTCCTAGCCTAATGCAAATATTTTGCTGCTTAAGCAGTGAGTTCTCATCTTGTCTTGTGACTGTCCTGCCAAAGCTCTGTAGCTGTGGGTTCTGAAGACAAAAAGGACTCTTCTAGAAAAGTCCTAGATAATTGTTCTTTTTTCTTATATGTTCTAGTCACAATGCAAAAATAAGAGAACATTCTGGGAGCCTTGTACGTATCAACTCCGGGATGCTGAGATATAAGTCAACCTCATCTCCTCCTCCCCTAATTTGATTTCCAGTGCAGTCAAGGTGCTCTGCCATGGAAATGACACGGGATGGCAACAGTAGTTGGTTTTTACCTATTAAGCAAATTAACATAATATTGTCATTGATGAGGTTTTGAAAGGTAATTAAAGTAAAACTCTTTTGTTTCCATATGTATTTTTCTTGGATCTCCTGCAAGACTATTCTCACCTTCCCTTTGTGATCAGAGCCATCCCAGGACTTCAGGGACCTACCTCCAGAAATTATTAAGAGCCCCCCCTCATCCCGCCTCCACAGAATCATATCTTCTGAGGGGTCCCCCTTCCATGAGTGAATTCATCCATGGGCACCGTCTCAGCAAGGAAAAAAGGTTAACTGTGGCCACACCAGGTAAACATTTTTTCCTTGGGTGCATGTGGTGCTGAGTGGTTAGCAGAGCAGGGGACCCTCCCGGCACTGCAGATGCAATCTGATTTGGGTACCTTCTTGTGACTTGAACAGCAAAATGCCTTCTCCTGTGTCACCTGTAGCAGGAGCTGACATTCTGCCAGCTGTGGCCCAAACTGGTTCCAAATGCAGTGGGGGAAGTCCCACTGAGGAATACATGGGTGCAGTCCTGCTGGCATCCACAGATGCTGCACCCCTGTGCTTAGGTGGTGCTTGGCTATGTTGATAGTCATCAAAGGAGACTCAGACCGAACAAGACAGAAGTCAGAGGGATGAGGACTAAGGATGGAGTTGCTGGCATTGTCCATCTCCTGCCCACACTGCAGTATTCAGTCAGGTTTTTCTAAGGTGTAATGTCAAACTCAGATGATCTAGCTTATATAAACTGAGTTGTGAAGTGTTATCTTCGCAGGAAGCTTTTGCTCCTCCTTTCCTGCCAAACTGTAGTATCTGCTTAGAACAGTGTGCAAAAGGAAATCCAATCTGAAAGTCATTTCAGAGGTTGTGACATCTTTCTCCTGACAAAGTAATAACTACTTTTCTTCTGTGCCTGTGCAGAACTTTTAGCCTGCAACTACGCACGTCTTTTTCATTTAGAGTTTTGAGATTTCTTATACACAAAAAGCAGAAGTAGAATATGTAAAAGCTAAAATCCATGAAGTGCCTTCTGCTAAAGTAAATACCTATTCCAGAAAGCTGAGCAATACCCTGGAGTATGTTATATCTCAGTGCCATAAATATCATACCACCTTTGAGTAGTGCCATGCTGATAACACTCGTAACACTTATAAGGACAAGCGTAAAACTGCAGTTAGTGTTTCTGCTAAGGAGTGTTGCAATAAGGAAATTGAAGAGCTGGTTCCTGTGAGGAAAAGGGTGAGTAGGAAAAAGCAAAGACTTAAAAATTTGTAAAATAAAAGGTACAGAGCTTTTGCGAGGAAGTGGAAGGAAGTAGACCCTCAGATGGCAATCTTCTACCATACGTTTTACAAGACTTCTATTTCTAATTGTACTTCTAATGTACAATTTACAAGAGACCATCAGGCCAAGGAAAAATGGTGTTTAATCCAAGGACTTGATGACCTTTGTGTGAAGACATGTGACCTGTGTATCGGATCTGCTCTTTGATGGTTAGAAGAAGCAATGATTTAAAAAGAAGACTGCTCAACGGATAAGACGAATTATTTACTGTTATTTATTTACTGCAAAATTGTTAGTAATAAATATATAAATTTTACATTACATTGTAAAATATGTAATCTTTAAATATGGAACTCTAGGTCCTGACTTTCTTTATGCATTAAATTTTTGTCCCCATTTTTGTGGACCACCATCTAATGTCTCTCAGAGCATCACAGATTCACAGGCCAACAGAGTGAGAAACACTGTCACAGTCTCTCTGACTTCTTGCGGTAACAGAGGCCAAGGGATAAAGCAGCTTGAAAAGTAGAATTGCCTTGAAAATATATTTGTTTAGAGTCTCATCTGACACCTTAGGTACATCTTTTTAAGTGAAGAGGCTTGAGACAGTGCTACTGATTTATGTCACAGTTTCCCTTGTGATCATAAAATAGTCAGCTTTCTGACTGCATTTGTCAAAGCTGTATTCCATTACATGGATTTGGTCTCAGCCAGGCATCCTGACAGGTGAGCCTGACAGGTTCAAACCAGTGATTTATTTTGAGCACTCCAATTCCATTCTCAGCAGAGCCCATGTCAGAATCAGGATGAGGATCAGCATCAGTCTTGCCAATTCCTGGAAGGTTATTAAAAGACCAAAGGAGTAAGACACTAAGTAGGATTTTATGTGTTCTGTCTAGTTATCTTTTTTTCCTGAAGGTAAAAGGAACAGTAAAAGATGGTATTCTGCTGCCTTTAGAGAATGTTTAAAATGCCTGCTTGTAACAGAGAATTTATTTTTCCAGATGATATATGCAGTAAAACAAACAAGCAAAGTAACAACTCCCACCTTCTTGGGTGGGTTTTCTATGGCACTGATGTTGCCAGAGTGCAAGAAACATCTGGACAATCCTTTCAGACAAATGGTCTAAGTTTTGAGTGGTCCTGTCCGGAGCCAGGAGTTGGACTCAATGATCCTTACGAGTCTCTTCTAACTTAGGCTGTTCTATGATTCTTCTTCATCACAGAGATGGCAAAAGAACTATGTCCAAACTCATACGCTAGGAGTGGAAGGGAGAATGAATCAGGACAAAATTAATTGTGTTGGGTTTTAATTTTGTTTTTTAAAGCCGTGAAAGGTTTCTATCCTCTGAAGATTTCAGCCACACGATTTGTGTGATTTGCTATCTTTTCATTAGCTCCTAGTACGGGGGACTGCGAGGCTGTAGGTGGGAATGCATTTGATGGAGACTAAGAGCCAGAAAGCTGCTTTCTTCAGAGGTAGATCCTGGCATGAAGAATCGCTCATAAAGCCCTGGAGACTCACTACTGAAGCTAAACTAAGGGCCTTTCAAGAGAGTAATTTCTTACTTGATTTCCCCTTGACTGCCATCAACTTTGAATCAGCACGTGTGTCCATCTGACATCAAGCTGTGGCAATATGACATTATCTGGGCCATCTAATTGAATTAATGGCTGCTAACCATGTGGCTAACTATATCACTAATCCATTTCCAAAGTATTGCACTTCGTTTCCTCTAGGTAATACCCGAGGTAATGGTATGCATATAGTTTTGCCGTGCATTTCTTTTTCCCTTCTGTTACTAACATGTATTTTTACACATCAAAATCTTTATTCCTCTGATAGAGAGATCCAGCCTGTATTTGTCCAACAGAATTCCAGCCTACTTTCGCATTTTCACGATTACCTGAAGAATTCAGCGCATAAAGAAAAAAGCTGGTTTTGGCATTGTTTAACACTGAATTAAAAATGACCTTTCATTGCAGTTGTATTCAAAATCTTTCCAAATTTTCGTATACAGGGCTTGAAAAAAAAGTCAGTAGATATCTCCTATTATCTTACAGTCAGAAAAATGAAATACACTTCTCCTGACTTCTTCAGCAAAAGAACAAGACAGAAAAAGGCTACCATAAGTGCCTTGATACTAGTTTTTTTTTCTTCTTCTTCTTTTTTTCCATCTGTTACTTTAGGATGGGAATTCTCAAAGTTGAATTTAAAATCCTCCAATTCTGGTTGAAGATTTGTGTACAGTCCAATATTTTACTCTACGGAAGTAGAAAAAGAAAGAAAATGTGTGACATTTCTCTCAAATCCATAGCCTATCTGAGTTCTCATGTTTGTTGACACAACCTGGTTTAGCCTATCGAGTTTCCACAGAACTATCTTGATTTACTTCAGTTTTTGTTCTGTAGGTTTTAGATTTTTTTTTTTTTTTTTCCATTTTTGCAAGACCATTTCATAGAATGGTGTTTCTAAAGCTTGTAAAAATAAAAGCCACTTTTAATGGCTTTTGACAGTAAATTTTGGAGAACTGTTCTTTCCATAAAACACATTAAACATGAAAGTTTGCTTGATTTTCAGATGTCTTTCAAGGCTGTTTTACAGAATGGCTTTTACTTCTCCTGAGAAGAGACTAATATGGAAGATAAAGACAGCTCAAGGAGGGCCATATAATAGTGCAACTGCTCAAGCACTCAGACCATCACTTCTTGTACTTAATTAAAAGTATATGTATATCTTAACAGAAAATCATCCAAGACTAATTTCCACTGTAGCTCTGTTATATTCAAATCAAAAATGATTAACAATTTGATACAAATAACTAGTTTTTACTTAATGGTTTGCATTCTTACCATCAAATTCAGCTAAATTTGTGTAATGCTGAAGGAAATTCCGATAGAGTGATATGATAATAAATGCTAATAGATTATCCAAGAACTAATTTGGACCATCTGAAGGTAGAAATTATTTCTTAAAGCTGAGAAGGAAAACAATGAAAGAAACTCAGTCATCCAATATGGAGGTCCTAGTAAGTCTCTCAGTTAAGTTTTTAATTTGAGACACAAGGGGAATTGCATAAGAGTTGTCTTTGTTAACTGCCCTTTTACAGGTAGTGGTTTCACCTAAGAGGAGTAAGTTAGAAATCTGGGAATGCACAGTCTTACCAATACGAGGAGCAGTGGGTCTTCTGAGTAGAGCAGTCATTATAGGGAGTTATAGGAAATGCAAGGTGTTGTGTAACCTCTCCTGACAGAAGGATTGGGCAACACCCACTGCTGCTGTTTTCATTTCTTCATGCTATATGTTGAGCTCTTTCAAGGTATAATTTTTTAGGAAAATGCTTTTTAAGAAATACTCTGTAGATTCACTGTGAAAACAAAAGTGCACAACCTTTCTCTTATATATGTCTTAAAATAACGTTGTTGTGGAAGTTGTGACATGGGACAAGATTCTTGGCTTCTGTTTCTGCTTTTTTCACATTGTTTAAGTAGTGGGAAGATATGGAAAATATGTTCAAAGAGAATATTATGGGTAGAAACTCTTGGTAGGAGATGAAGCTGGCTTTCCCTTCCCAGTTTGGATGCAGTGTTTGGGAAAATGATCAGGAGTGGTTCAGGCTGATGCTCAATGGAAGAGGCTGTCCACAGAGAAGACCCATGCACCCTACATAAATGGAAAGGCAGGGGGAAGGGGAAGATGTTTTTGATAGTAGTTTGTGTCTTCTTTCCGTATGTGGTGAATAGGGCTTAAGCTCATGGTTTGTAGCTGTGTGCTTTGTTTTCTTGCTTAGAAATATTTTGCAAAAAATGGCTCTAGCTTTGCTTTAGAACTTAAATACCAGAATCACAACACTTCTTGGACATTTCTGAACCATGCTACCATAAATACTACTTCAGTTACCTAAACTTTGCCTTTTTTAATATACTTCTTTCACTTTAGAAGCAGTAGGACTGTTAGAACTCTGAACAGTGAAGAAAGCACGGCTTATTTAAAAATTATTATGGAAGAAGTTGTTTGAGGAATATTATCAGACGAGGCCTGAATTTTGTTAGGAGCGTGCACTGAAGATCTCCATAACTGATCAGGTCATCCTGTGAACAGTTTTCAAAGCAGTTATTTACTTGCCCTAGTTGAGTTATCTCCGAGCTTGTACAATCAACTCTGGCAAGGCTCATACAATATTGGTGTAACATGTCTCTGCTCTCCATAGAAAACAAATTTTGTGTGACTTTTACCAGTGTTTTGAAAAGCTAGAGGGTTTTTTGTTTGTTTGTTTTCATCTGAACATGATGCTCTTCACAGAAAGGATAATTCAGTCATTATTACCCGTGTTCCACTTTTTGTTCTGCATTGTTCTATTTTCTGTGACTTTTGTAAATATGACATATCTGTGTATATAAGTGTCCATTGTTTAATGAGTGTTATTAGTGCATATATACAGATATATGTATATACTTTCTTGCTCTTCGGGCCATGTCTTGCATCTGATATGCTCATTTAACAAAGCTTAATGAGCATTACATATTTATGCCATTTCAAGCATGGTACATTGTCCTTGTGAAGGCCGTTTTGAATTTGAAGAAGAGTATCCTTGCCAAGGACATTAGTTGGCTGTAACTGATGAAGAAGTCAGCTAGCTAAATGTACTTTTACCTCTTGGTGCCACTGTGAACAGGACTTTTTTGCTCTATGCTTTTCCTCTCTTTCACTTAGCTTTCCAGTTGCCACAGATGAGACCAAAATCATTTCATGCTTATCAGTATAATTTAGCTACTTCAACATAATTTAGCTGCTATGTCATGAATTCACTGCAATTCTATGGGTTACATTGAATTCTTACTTTTATTTTTCCTTACATAAAAAGTGGATCCAAAATAAAACCTCTTTTAATAGAAATCCAGATCTGTTTGTTGAAAGATTTGGAAAAAAAAAAGAAAAAAAAAGAAAAAGATTGCAGTGAAACCCATGCCTTACTGTTGCATATTTTCATCAAAAGGTTATTGACATTTTTCCTTCTATATCCAAGTTATGATCTCATTGTTAGCTGGAATATTAAATGTTAACATAATTTGCTGAAGTTCTCCAGTAAATCTTTATTAGACTCCTGATTATTTCTAACAATATGGGCATGCAGGTGATACATCATATGTTATAGGTGTGTTACCAGATATTTCTTGCTTTCTGTGAAAATTTTGGGCTTTGGAATCCAATGTTATCTATTAGCTAAAATAGCACTTCAGGTTTCTTGAAAATGTTGATAACAAAAATCATCTGTCTTTATCTTCTTTTATGACAAGGTTTAATGTGGTTTCACGACTTACTGATTTTTACCATCAAATATACAGGAATATTCAATATTGCGCTTCTCATCTCATAAAATAGGCAAAGCAGAAGTGAGTATCTGTTTAAATTGGACACACTGATATTTTAGCTCTCCGATAGAGCAGTTCCTTGGACTGTTGTGATGTATGGAGTAAGTTCACCAGAAATCTTTAACCAAATTGAGTATCTCTAATAATAAGTATTTTCCTGCCTGCATTTTTAGACCTATGAAAACTTATAGTTGTACCTTATGTTGTTTCTTCCAAAGCCTATTTAAGCTGTTATTCCCATTAGCTTCAAGTTTTGGATCGGGCCCTTGTTTTCCTGCAAAATACTGCAAATATTTTTGGTTTAAATATATTTGTGACCATCTGAAATATATTTCAGAAACTAAGGTTTCCATAAAAAATGGGTAATCATCTCAACAGAAATGTGATTTATTTTAAGACCTTCCTTTTCCTCTTTTGCAATCTCTGAAATGTGTGTGTGTCTGTTAGTGAATAAGTATCTCATGATGCCTCAGATCTTTCTAAATGTGCTTTTTATGAACTGTGTATAAAAGAAACTGAATGTATTTATTGTTTCAGCTTCTACCCATTCCCATTTCTGCTGTTTTACTAACCCATTATTTAGCTTCTTGACAGATTTAATGAGGAATTATTTAAAGCATTCAAAGAAACCATTTGAAAAATGACATAAACTTATCGTGATATAAAAAGTGTGAAAAAACCTACAGAGTTGACAATTGGTCTTTTAATGGTTTTAGTTTAAACTTGGAGAATAAATGTATCTCACAGATTTTATTAACGAGTAAGAAAAAATCTTATATTATTATTACTGTTCTTAATATGAGCTCCAGTAAAGAGCAAGACTGGCATATAGCTTGGATATGTCAATACTGAAGCACATGAATTGATGGGAAACAGCTCTCAAGGCTGGGGATAATTTAGATCTAAAAATAAAGTAGAAGTCAAGTCTTGCAAGGTAAGGGGGGAGAGAGTATTTTGTTACTGCTGCACAGATGAAAGAGCTCCAAGAATATAGCCAAGACACCCGACATAGTATAGGAAGCCACTGAGTAAGAGATGTACTAAGCTATGTCTGTCAATGCCAACGTGTCACGTAGTGCACAGAGTTCTTAATGATGCTCCATGGGTTTTATGGGTTTCATTGTGGAATTCAAATAAGGCAGATAGCACTTCTCTAAATGTTATAAGAAAATAGCTATGAAATACCCTGCCTGTTCCAACAGGCTTGCTCATCTGGTCTTACTTGTGAGAAGCAGTTAGCACGTGGCTTTCTGTGATGTTTACTCTGAGAGTATTCTGTCTGGCATAATCTGGAAGGCAAATGGGAGAAAAGAGGAGGAGCAGGTGACAGAAGCTTGGGTGCGTAGAAACAGAGGGACATTCCTGGGCCACTTTGGAAGACAACAAGCAGAAGTGACAAGAGACGAAGATCAGTGTGCAAATGGGAGTTTAGCAGCAGGCTCACAACTCTCAACATTTATTCTTCAAATATTGAGAAGACTAAGAAATAGGTTGTGGAAGAATTCTTTTTTGTTGTTGTTGAAACATCTTCAACTAACAAAAATCATCTAATTTCTCTGAATAGTAAGTTTAAGATATGAATTACTTGGATGTTTGTAAGGCTTGAAATAAAAATTTCATAGTATGTCATATTCACTATGAAGTAAGTCAGAACTCATACCTCATAGATAAATATGTCTATCTACAATCAACCATCTATCAACTATCCTTTTTTTTTCCAGTTTAATGGAAGGATAGAACTGAGGGAAAAGCCAAGGGAGCTGACTACTGAAAAATGTTTAAGAGCTAACTTACTACAGGTCATGTTTATGTGGAATGTTATAGCTGCCAGAAAAGGACTGGCTCTCACAGAGTTCTGCAGCATCTCTGTTTCTTGACTCAGGCCCCCTGGCACTGCTGGTTTTGCTCTGAGATCAGGACAACTCGAGTCAATCCTGCTTTAAGAGAGCTGAGATCTGTGAGGCTGGCTAGGCTCACGATGGCTCCACTGGAGTCCTCTCCTTCCAGGAATACCCTGCAGAAACACAGAGCTGCACTCACTTTGCAGCTGACAGGCTTCCCAGCTGGAACTTTTTACAGGGCAAAAGTGACTGCGTTATTTCCAGACCCAAACTGACCCTGGAAACAGGAGAAGGGAGAGACTCTTCTGATCTTTGACCTGTACCATTGTTGATGCCTTTTTCCTAAGGTGGACCATAGCTGTCCTCTCATCAGTTGTTTGTGATAACCGTTAACACTGAAAGTTCCTCTTGGCCTTGAAGAAGGTCAAAGTTATCTTATAGAAGCAGAAATAAATGATAAGTGAAACTAGCTAGTCAAATATTAGCCTAAACATCTTTTTTCATGAACTATGAAAGATAGATAGATAAGAAGAAGACATTTTTTTCCCTCTAGACATGAATAGACGTGTCTCATCCTATCAGATTGCAGTTTGAAAGCACCTCTACAAGTCTCAACTCAGCAAGATGGGCATGTGTTTTACTAGCTTCTGCCCCATTCTCCTTGGCATATCACATTTGTCTTTTGAGTTTGGAAGTTCTCCTTGTTCCTTGCCTTCGAATAGAGGGGATTGATTCATTGTCTTCATAGGCCTCTGATGTGAGGCAATGTGTTTCTTGCCTTTGCACAGCCAGAAGACTCCTTGTTTATTTTTTTTGCCCAGTACTTTTGACTCTTCCTTCATTCTCTTCTATTAAACTGTCGTCTCAGAGAATAAAATAATAAATTACCGTATAAATGGGGACAGCTTCTCTTTTCAAGTAAATTGTGAATTACATCTTCACAGACATGTTGTCAAATTCCTCAAAGTCAGTTGACATTGGATAGTGTGACACAAAGCTATAGATTCTCTAAAACATTTAGCTATTATAGAAAGGCTTTCAGTTATCCTGGAGTGATTGATGACATATTCAAGAAAATGTGTTTTAAAAGACTGAAAAAAGCCTCTATCTGTTTGTTTTTTTCCCCTTCCAATTAAAAATATATTTCCCTAGTGTTTTCCATATCAGAAATACCAAACACTACCTGTTTAAAAAACAACAAAAACTTTGTTGATTGGCTCAGTTTAGTCCTTTGAGATAAAAGAGAAAACCTTCTCTAAAGATAGCTAGGCACAATTAAAACTGTTGTATATTAGTGATTCATTCCCAGCATCTCCAGTATGTTTCTCAGGATTCTTACTATTCTTGGTCTTAGTGATCTTCATAGAATGCTGTCAAATTTACTGAATGTCAAAACGTATTGAAGTGTTCCACTGCATTCTATTGAGTCTTGAGCAGGTGGGACTAAAAATGTTTGCACATAGAATATTCACCAGGGACATTGCTGATGTCAACAGAAGGCAAGCCCATCTATCAGATGCTAATAACCCCATTTAGCAGCCCTGTGTTGATTAGAGTCATCCAGTTTATGGACTGGAGGGCAGAGCACACATTGTGACACGAGGGAAATGCATTGTTTTGGTGGCTGAGTCAAAGGGAAGCACAGGAAAATATTTTTTTCTGAGATTTGCTCTCAACAAGTAATTTATAGTTGCACATGCAGTTCTCATATGAACAGATGTAGCTTCACTGAGCTTGTTATTTTAATGCTCTTACATCAGGAGCTGATTAGCCCAATTAAGACTGGGTTTTAGATTCCTAATGAAAATCAACACTGCCTAATGTGTGAAAGAAAATCTCTGAGTCCTTCACATCTCCATTCCTAGCAAATGGCTAAAATGTTAAGAACTGAAAAGCCTGAACAAGCCAAACTTACAGTAGAATTCATGCCTCTGAAGCTCCAAAAGGTGCTGTGGTGATCTGATATTGCCATAGGACTCTATACTCACTTCATCCTGCTGAACTCATTAAAAATTGTTGTGTGCATTTTGTTTGTAGCATAGCTCCTCTTTGCTTTTTATGATCGAAATCATCACTGACTTGCATTTCTTTGTCACAGGTTCATGGAGTCATAAAAGCACTCTTAGGAGCTCAGCCAGCTCGTACCATGTCCCAGTCACTCACTGCCTCACAGCAAGTGGAAATGATAGGGAAATAAAGGAGTTTGTATTTAATAACTCAGTGCTTTTCTCTGAGGTCATGCCATATATAATCTGTTTCTGCTCCCCAAGTGTCTTCTACAAAAATGTCAATGTGTCCTTTCAGTTAGTAGCTAGATTGATATTCCTACAGGCTTAAAAATAGTGGGAACAGACCTCTTCCAGTTTAACATTTTTTTGTTTTCATACAAGCGTGTCTGACTTTCCTTGTCTTTATGGCATGTGGCAGTAAAGGCATGTTTGAAACTATTAATCTTCAGTAGACTGTTTCAGAAGAAAGCATTCTTTTACTTGACAGAATCAGAAGTTCCATAGTAGAGCAGAAAGACCAAATGCTGTCTTCCAGTTTTCACCATTAAGCACAGTATAACAAGAAGTCATTTCACGACTGTCATGGCTTTAAATAATAGGGTTGCAAATCCTGCAGAACATTTAAAAGGATTAAACACAGAAGGAATAAAGTTAGCTCTGGCACAGCTGCTTGGATCTAAGTAGATGGGAGCCTCTTTGAATTTCAGATGTGTATGTGTAAGCCATATGCATTCTGCTTAACTATTTCCTACCGTAGTGCTCAGGTACTTCACTCTGAGGGAATGTAGAAGAACAGTTCAGCCTTTTTAAGTCACGTGGGCCACTAGTTACAGGTGTGACTGAGGTTGAGCCAGATTCTATGCGTGTTGCTGACACCAAGGAGAACTGCCGCCATGTGAAGTAGGGAGCTTGCTTTTGTTGAACATTTCTTACCCAGGCTTCATGATGCCTGCAGAATCTGGCTCTATGTTTGTGTGCTCTGCCAAGTCTAGCAGATGAAGAGGCTTCATAAAATGTTTGCGGGATGCTGAGATATTAGAATATGATCATAAATCAGGCATTTGCGTTATTCCTGGCAAAGCCTGTTAGAACAGTTTCTTCTGTATCTGTGAAACCTATCCACACCTTTTCATCACACAGCATTCTGCTTTCTTCTTTTTCTCACTCTCCTGTTAAGTTGTTGGAGAAAACTTCGCTTTGGACTTCAGCAAACTAGTTCATTTAGAATACAACATTAATTTTTTCTCTGGCCATCATTTTCCTTCTGTAGTTACAGGCTTCTCTGTCTATCAGGCACCACTTTCCTTTCAGCTGAGCTTTGTGCTGAATGACCCTTTTATTGGGGTCTGTATGGGTTGTAAGCTCTTGCATTCCTGTGCTGCAAGGACCATAGAGGCCATCTTAGCATATGAGAGAATGGCACAATATCCTTTCTTCTTCTGCTTCTTCTTCCCGACACAATGGTACCTGCACTAGCTGTACATAAATATTTCTGAAGTAGTTATCTATGTACTTGAGAATATGTCCAAAACCCTCTCCTGCTATCTGAAGCAGGAAGAAACTAATGATTTGGTTATGCATGCTTCCACCCACTGGAGATCAGCACAGATTTTGATGAGAAGCAAGGAGAAACATTCTGGTCTTGTACAAAAAGGAAATGTCATGGTGCTGGATTTGTTGCTCACTCTTTGTGGGAAGCTGTGTTGTTTTGTTATCATCCAGATTCCTGACAGTAGATTACTCACAGGTTCTTCCACTTGACTGAGACAAAGAGTAGAAATGCATTTCAGAGGCCATCAATATTGTAAAGGGAAAAGGTTACTGGTGTTGAGCTTTAATGGTGTTTAGCAGCAATTAGAAAATGGAATTCTTTCCTATCACATGAAGTTTGATCATCTCATTTTATGTAACTCCTTCCCACTGAACAGTTAGGTTGAGAACAATAGATCTCAAACTGCACTAGAGACAAAAAGTGACCTCTGGCAGTTCTCCGGGTGGTCTGAGTTTCTCTAATGCTCAGAAGGATGCTGACGTGTGTGCTCTCTGACAATCTGAATCATGCAAGCCATGGCCAGATTAATGTAGGGAAAACTTTTTTTGACACTTGTAAATCGTACTAGAAAATAATGAGCCCCAAAGCAGATTTTTTTCATGTTCAGCTACTTCTCTTAACTCCTTCAAATACTATGGAGTACCTGCTGTATGAATTCCTCCCTTCCCTTCTCTACGAGAAGACATTCTCAAAAGCACTGTTTAGAAGTTGTGAAGACTTGCAAACTTCTCACAGATCATGATGAGATGGCATCTGTAATAACTGCTTTAGGGATAGAAGTTCTTTGGAGAAATTTTGGGTAGCTTTATTGACATTTTTATATTAGATGTAAGCAAAACGACTTTATCATCTGCAGAAGAATGATGGGTATAAGGTTTAAATTCACATCCTGAATCTAGCCCACTATAGCTGTGTGTTTAAAATAAAAAAATGTTAAGGGAAGACAAATGTAAATGTCTTCACTGCTTCTGAAAAGAAAAAAAAAAGGCAACAATTATTGTTACTGCTATCAAGAAAAAGGTGTTTCTGTCAGATAAGGATCACACGAACATTCCTCACTAAATCTCTCCATCAGATGCACAGCCTGTGTATTGCTGTTACTAACCCCTTGCTCTGTAATCTCTCTGTATATATGTCTAATTTATCAGTTTCTTGTAGATTGTCAGCAGCCTGCTGCCTCCATACCGCCACACGGCTCACAACTAGCCAGGGGGCCAGATTGCCAGAATGTCAGGTAAACTGAACTAACTTTTCTCTTTGCACATAGCTGCATGCACGTCTGCAACTCCCCTTGTCTTCCTTGCTCAAATCTTCTTTGCTACGGTTCTTCACTAACAGCAACTTGAGCAGCAGTGATGATTTCTGCAGTGACAATACAAACACGAACCACAGATCCACACACTTACATTGAGGCGAAAATGTTAAAAGAAGGAGAAGTTGTACCTTGCAGCCCTCATTTGTTCTTTTCATACAGTTTCTCCATGTTGCCAAAACAGCAATGATTCTACTATGTTGCTAGATAAATTGGAGGACTTGATTTTTAGGGCTGGGCACAGATTTCCATTTTTGTAGGGTGGCATTTTAAAGGTACTTGTGAGATCTCAGCAACTTCAGAAAAAAAGAGATGACAGTGTGTTTTTTATATGTTCATAGTATGTGCTGTGCACAGTCACTTCTCATTTAAAACAATTTCCATTATTTTTAGACCTTACCCTGATCTATAGCAACCCAGCTGATCTACAGCCCTATTTGCGATAAAACTATTTCCTACAGAACGCTAAACTTCATGTGTAGAAGCTTGCTGTAATAATGCAGACTGGTGGGGGGATGGGGTAGAGCTTTCAGGCTGCACATGAGGCACTGCTAAGCACTATTGCCAGCTCACAAGTCTTCCAACGGCCTTGGAACAGCCCCTTCATATGTACTTCTCTGTTATTCCTCCCCTAAATGCTAGCAAACTATTGCTTCTGCAGTTTTAAACATCCTTCTCAGAAGGGAAAAGCTACATCACTTAACTCTGCTATGCACTTGTTGGCAAGCATTGCTTTGTTCAGCAGACTAACCTGTAGAAAGGGCACATTCCAAGGGAAAGCCTCAGGGCTTTCTGCATTATCCCTGAGTGCTTCCTCAGTTAGAAAGATCTCATTAGCTACAATCAGAACTGGATATATTGGTCAAGAAGTCATTTTTGGCATGTTTCCAAATAAAATCAGAGTATACAATGGCACATAAAATGTTTAATTTTGTAATGTGGTTAATATTTTTAAAAATTAGATTGGTCATTCTACAAAGAAGACATACTGCTATACTTATCTGAACTACTGACCTCCAAAGGACTGTAATTTTTACCACTAGATTGGTACTCTTTTGATTAAGAAGAAGCACGGTAGTATTTTTTATATATCAACACTGATGCCTTCCTTGTCTTGGCCACATAGCTGTGTAGCCTTGTAAAGCAGTGAAGCATAACAGACCTGGTGCAAGAGAGTATGATGGTATGAGTTTGTGAATGCTTTAAATGAAATGATTGAAATCTGCAGTGAAAATCGCTGGCTTTTTAAGAACCAGTTATGTGAGTTTGTTCAGGTTTTCTATACTCAGGAGAGGAAGAAGACAGCAGCTTGTGATGTCCTTCCTCCTCCTTTTAGAGTTCCTCCTGATGTAGCACAACTGCTTTCAATCATACAGTGATGTCAGATGAGGAAGGTATTATGTTAAAGCTGTGTCCAGCCCTAAAGTCACCCATTTTAAGAGAGAGCTATGCTTGTTTTTTAAGTCTCTACTGTCATTCTTGCAGTCATGTGACATCTCAATGGCATTTCACCTAGGATCGAGAGATAGCCTGTAAAGAAGCTTCCCACATCCTGCTATATACCTAATGGTGTTCAAACTAGTTTGTTCTGAGGTAGCACAGAGGTCCGCTCTGAACTTTAACATTAAACACAGAGAGCTTTCCTCATCCAATATCTGTGCTCAGTTTTAAATGGCACTTGTGCATCTCTTGATTTTTCACAGTAGTTGTGAAAGTGTGCTGATTCCAGTCATCTAGTCACTTTGATTAGCTGTACATCTGTCTGTCTTCTTGCTCATGCCTGCATGTTTCTGCTAAAACCTGATCTGGAAAATCTAGGAGAACCTTTTGTTAGAGGTTTTCAAAGGAAACTGATGAATCAATGCGTGAGAATCTAAACTCTGCATTCCATGCCTCACCTCAGTTTCTATGTCCAGAACTGTGGGCAGGCAACCAGACGTAGGCCTACCCTGAAAAGTACTGGATGGTGTTCACCCCTTCCTAACATCAGTAGCTGTCTGTTTGATGTATTATATTGCACAAGACTAAACTAATACTGTCATCCAATGTTTACAAGAATGTGTCTGTCTTTGGATCACATGCTGGACCCACGTTGTCTAAAAAACAATCAGAAACAAAACAAAAGTCCTGATACTGCAAATGAAACCAACATTCATTATTTTGCAATAAATTATAATTTCATTTCGTGTAAAATAGGAAATAAAAAATAGGGTTAATTGTTAAGAAAATAAGATTAAAGTTGAATAAGGAAAGATGCACATGAAAGGGTTGCATTCTGAATATATCGCTGGTCTGTTTGTATTTTCCATTGCTGATTCATTACAGTTACAACCTATGCCAGAAAATATTGCATGTGAATGATGTCTTTAAGAAAACAACACAATATTTACTAACGCCAAAGAGCATTGCATGATAATTTTCAATTGATTTTAGAACTACATGATGAGCTTTGTGAGTTTTGGGAGGGGAGAGAGCTGATTAAAAACAAATAATAGTAACATGAAAAATTACATGGGCCATATTCATCAACTGAATGGATATCTTCCCAAATGATGGCAGCCTTTAAAGAAAGGATTACAGAAATGTTTAAAAAGCAGCAGATATCCTTGGGCAGAAATGTAACAATATTCTTATTCTCACTTAGTAGCCAACAGCTTTAGGTTCTTCCATGTCTTTCTGTTGCTTCATGTTCCTAATCTCACCTGCCACCCTCTACTGCCTGTAACTGTCAATATGCCTGATAGCTGAGCTCCAGGACCTGCTGCCACCATCACCTGTCCTGCCATAAAAAGCACCCTGCATGCCATGTGTCACTTGCTGGTTCTGCTTGATGGATAATGCAATTTTTGTTTAGATAGTGCTGCAGTGATTTGCATAACCCAACTGGGTGTGTTGTTCTCCTGAAAGGAGGATGGCACAGCAGTAGAGTGTTATGATGAGAGTCAGATCTACTAGGATTGTAAGTGATGGGTGTATATATGTTGCTGCAAAGGTACCTGTACTGATAACCTTGTAATTTTTTTTTCTCTTCTCAATGCCCCTAGTATTTATTTTCGGTTGAAAAGGGAATGGTGAGACAAAGTTTTCAATTCCTTTTGTGGACAGAAGTATACTTGTATTTGAAAGTGAGAAGCCACACACAGTTACTGTGGAAAAAAAAGGATGTAATTCTAAGTGTAGTACTTGCTAAACAGAGCATATTCTGGAATAGTTTTTATTACAGTATTTGTAGTCAAGGTTGATTTTGTGCTGAAACTGATGCCATAATGGTAATGAGACTGAATGTGTTTAGAGGAAAAGTCTACTTGTGTCAGAGGTCCTGTTTCAGGTCATTACTGCACATAACTAGTCTCAAGTATGGCCATTTTCTCACCAGTCCTCTCCATTGAAGCAAGAACATCTTATGTTGTTTATTTTTAAAGCTGGGAAGAAAGCCCCAAAAGACAAACATACCTCTGCTAATGAGAAAGGAAAACACTGAGTTTCTATTCCTTTCTGACAATTACAGTTATTTTGAGGAGAAAAAAAAAAAAAAAGAAGAAGAAAAAAAAGAAAAAAAAAAGAAATGGGGCAGCAATGGAGGAGAGCAAGGCTGTCTTTCCAGAGTAACACAACCATCTTGTTTGCCTTCCCTGCATGTGCCATGTTAAAGTTTTAATTTGCTTTTATTTCTCTGAAGGACTTAGTAGTGCTTTTTTAAAGACTACCTTGAAAGCTTAGGAGGTGCTGAAGCCTGGAGATGTCTCTTCATGAGTGGATGGCTTCTAGAGTAAATGCAGACCTTTTGGATCCATCTCCTGACACTCCTGAGGCAGACTCATTTGAGAAGAGTAAGAAAAGATCTCTCAGATCCCTCTTCAGATTCTCTGTCTGCATTGGTATGGTGCAGAATTGACAGAACAAACAGATGATTACAGCCATGGAAATAAATACTTAGAGAACACAGGCTTGGTGTCTTCTCAGGGTGTTTGATTAAATAAGCTCACCTAGGAAGTTTCAAGAACATATTTTTTGACTGGAATATTTGTGCCTAGGTGGTTAGTTTTAGATGATATATGAACTGAGGAGTCATAGTTCTAAAAAGCAGTCAACTCTTTGGGACTGACTTACTCAGCCAACTTCAAAATGGAACCTATGAGGTCCTGAGCTCCTATAACTCACTCTCACCAGCCATTTTGTAATCAAGCAGCTCATCTTCAGGGGCAGGGACCTGCAAGTTTCTGATCTTCAAAGAGGACCAGAGGTGCAGGGGCTCCAACTCCTGCTGAATTGCAATACCTATGGATTTTTGGGGCATAATCTCCTCAACGCCCTTGATTTAAAACCTGGGCTTTGCCATCTCCTTTCTTAATGGCAGTAGTCCACCTTTGTTTGTGTCTTCTGGGAAGTGCAGTGCCATTTCTTTGTTTCCTATATGTGGAACTGCAGACATTTTCAGTACTGCTGGCATTTCCAATGGCAGACTTTCAAATACCGCTGGCATTTCAGATTGATTCGTTTCCAGCAATAGACTAATTGCGTGCCTTCAGCCAGCACTCGATAGTCTGTACTGCAGAGATAATTTGCATGTTTTTTAAAGAAGGAAAGTGGGAAAAAAGCAGGTTTTCTTAAAGATGGGGCTGTGAATTGATTGTGATTCATCATGTATCACTGTTGGAATAACTTCAAGACCATAGAACGTTTGAAGGATTAAGAAAAAAAAACCTACTCCCAGTCATATTTTTTTAATAAATTACATTTATTTGTATTCTGCTTTGGAATCTTGCTTTGCCATATGCTTACCTTGAAAGTTTAATGCCTGACACTTAGCTTGGCATCAGCTTGA